TTGGTTGACACAGGCGCAGGTGGAGGCATAGCTCCCAGAGGCTTTGACCCCCAAGCCAAAGCAGCCCTAGGAGAAGCAATCAGCATGAGAACCGTGACGGGTGAAGCGTTGAACCTAGGACCTCGTAGGACCTCGCATCTTCAGCATGGCAGCACGCAGGTGAACTTTAGCTACAGGGAAAGTGACGTGAAGTTTCCTGTTATCTCTATGTCGGAGGCTAGCAGGCAAGGCACCTGGTTGGTTGTGGGCCCTGAGACGCATTGCTTGTTGTCAAGTGAGGCAGGTGAGCGTCTTAAGGAAAAGTTGGTGGAACTTCCCAGGATCCCTCTTGTCAAGGATAAGGGTGTGTACTGGCTAGATGTAGAAAGAAGCCCGAAGCAGAAGGCCACCGAAACCTTAGCAGCCCCAAACCCGAAAGCAGCGAGACCGGTGGAAGCGGAAACAAGCTCCCCGAATCCGGTGGAAGCGGAAGCAAGCTCCCCGGATGCACCTCAGGCAGAAGAGGCGGATGCGGAACCGCTTGGCGACGCTCCCCTGCAGGAGGACTTGGAGCCAGAGGGTGAAGCCGGTAGGAAGGCTAAGGCTAAGAGGGTTCCCCCTAGTGTAAGCGCTGAGCTTAGGGCGGAACATGAACTTACTCATTTGCCGTTTCGCAATTGGTGTGAGTCTTGTGTAAAGGGCAAGGGCACTGAAGACTTTCACAGGCGTAGGGAGGAAGAAAAGAAGGAAGACGTAGCTAGGTACTGCATAGACTACTGTTTCTTCACGAAAGCCCTAGCCCAGGACAACGCAGTTTCAAGGTTTGCTGACCTGAGAGAGGCCCAACCTGAGTCCAAGACCGTTTTGGTTTGTAGGGATCAGAAGTCAGGGGCTCTGTTCACGGGTGTTGCCAACAGCAAGGGCGCTGAAGACGCGTACTCGACGGCTTTTGCTCTAGAAGGGCTTAAGTTCTGTGGGCACCCAGACGTGTTGGTTGTGAGTGACACTGAGCGTTCTATCAGGTCAGTAGCAGATCT